TCGAATAAGAAATATTTTATTCTAATATTTGTTGATCTATCTATCTATTCTATAAAATATTTATATCAAATATCGAATTAACTCTCACCTGATCACATTGCACGGATAGCTCCCTGCCCAGATTGTAGGCGCAAATGCAGCTCGTCTGCAGGTCGGGCACGTCCCTCTGCCAAGGACACTGGGCATGGGCCAAGTCGACCCCTCCCAGGATTAGTGGGAGTAGCAGGAGCAGGGGCGTGGTCGCTGCTGGTATAGCTTTTGTCGTTTGGCCTGGTCTCATCTTGGTGCCGGCATAGAGCTGCAAATAAATGGAAGAAGACGGCATTTCAGTTTCAGTTCGAGTTAGAGAGAGAGTGAATCTGGGGGCTCAATGAAAAAGTGAAGGTTGTCTGGGGCCAGTTGGGTCATAAATTACCCAATTAATACTGTCGCCTGGCAGACAAATCTCCTCCCCTGTTTTCTAGCATCTTTTACTGGTCAGTTGGTCAATGGTTGGGTAGTGGGTAAAGTGTATAAGACAGGAAGTGCACAGGGAAAAATTCGAAAGCTTATTGGGAATTAATAGAAAATTTGTTTTTTATTCACCGTGAAAGCTATTAATATTTTAAGGGCATTTAAAGTTCTTTAACATAAACTTTTCTATTTGGTATTATAATATTTTTAATTTTCGTAATATTAAAGAATCTTAATAAAATATTCGTATAATTTAATGAGTATTTAGCATACCTTTTTTAGCAACTTAACTATTTATTTTATTATATTTTCTTTTTCTGCCTGCAAAGTGCAAGTGGGCAAGCTTTATCAATCAGTTTTGGCAGGCTACTTTCAATTTCATTTTCATGCTCGTTAGACACCAAACAGTGCGTGAAAGGAGAGGCCTCCCCATCCCATTCCCCATTTCCCATTGCCGTGATCTGATCCTTGGGGCAGTTTAGTTTTGATTAATTTGCCCGTCTGCCTGGCTGCGCCTGTCAAACGAGGTGCTTCAGTTCCCAGTCACTTTTCCGACACAGCTCCTCCTTCGGGCCATAAAATAGGCATAAAAAAAGAGGGATGCTGGCCAGCAAAGCAAGACGTAACGAAAGTAAATCCTTTGCATACCCTTTGGGGACTCTTTTTCCGAAAAAGAAAAGCAAAAAAAGGACCAACCGCCAAACGCACCAAATAAAAAAGTGTTACGCGGCGCAGCTTTTTGTTAGCCATTTAATTTAATTTGGCCGTCTCATAAAAAAGCCAAGCACGTGATGTTCCCCCCTTTTCACTGCTTAACCAGTCCCCTTTTTCACCCGCTTTTAACCCCTTTTACCCCCTTTTAGCGACCATGCAAACAATAGATGATGACTTAAGGGTCAGCAAAGAAGCTGTTGACCCTTTTGCATAATCATGAGTTATGATGACACACAGTTTTTTCCTCCTTTTTCTCTTTTTTGGCTCTTATTGTTCAAGACAATTTTTTATTCTCGCCGGTCATTGTTATATTATGTGATTTGAAGTAGAAAAAGAACAGGTGAATGGACTTTCGGCTGTGCTTTTTTTATAAGCAAATTAAATAAGTAGATGCCGTTTCATAAATCAAATTATCTTTAATTAATCAATTTAATTGTCTGTTCAAAACATTTTCAAAATATTTGTTGCACATTCATTAATATTTTCGTGTCCTAATCAATCAAATAACGAAATGTACTTGTACAGATTTCCCGTATAATTTGAATTCAAACCAAAGATTATGGAGATTTTAGCCGATTGCAAATTAAAGTTCTCCCCGACCACTTTTTAGCCTCCTCTGCAACTCCCGGATAAACCGCAGAATAATAATTAAACTGCACGCTCCGCTGCATCCCAAATAATAATCAACATTTTGTCTTTTGATTGATAGTTTTTTCTTCATCTCGCCAGCTGTGTCACGCCTCCCTGAATCCATAAGATATATCCCCAGGGGGGCGGAAAAGGGGGAGGAGGCTGCTGAGGTTGATGTTTCAATTGTCCGATGCGCCTGACTTCATTTTTCATGGCATTTTGGGTTTTTTGTTGGGTTGTCTCTCTTCCTTAATTCAACTTATAAATTGCATTACGTGGCTAAATCCGAACCAAAAAAATTGAAAAAACGAGAAAAACAGAAGAAGAAGGCTGAAAAATATTTCAAGCTCCACTGTGCACTCCACACTTTTCCAGCTCTCGTTCCTCATTTCTCATTTCTCACTCAACTGTCTGGCCACAAATTTAATTAAAAAATTCTTGCACCATTTTATTCCCTTTCTTTTATTCGCGCCGAGTCGCCTTTGTTGTTTTTCTTCTGCGTATTAATTGCATCACTAAATTTTTTAATGCGCGAAAAGTGCGAAAATTGCAGCGGGAAAACAAAGGAAGAAATGCAGCCCAACCGCTGGCTGAGTGAATAAATGAAAAGCGAATCGAGTACAGTTGTGCAGCAAAAAGGGTATTTTTGTTGATAGGACCGTTTATTTAAATACCCTTTAAAAAAATTATAAATTAAATGTTAAAAAAATATTTTGAAACCGAAAACGAAAAAATGTCAATTTAAATAATACATTTTATTTGGATTATTTACGGTTTTTGCCTTTTTTATATAAAATTTTAAATATAACATTTTAATAAAAAACTAAAATATTTTTGTAATTTTCTAATTTATAATACAATATAAATATAGGATGTCTTTGATCCCCCCAAAATTTTGTTCTAACGTTTTCAAACTCTTCCCCAGGGTACTAACAAAAAATTAAACTTTTTGTTTTCCCACCCGAAAAACTTGAAAGGTGCAAATGATTTTTCTATCCCTCTCACTTAGTTGTTGTTTCTTTTGTTGTGGCCGCATAATTATTCACTCTTTTTTTTTTTTTTTACTTTTTTGGTGGTCGTTGGCTTGGCAAATTTGCATTTTTAGACAATGGTCGAGCGGTTAATTTTTTTCTTTCTGTTTTTGTTTTGCTAGATTTTTTCCATCCACCTGCCTTTTTTGGTCCAAGTTGGGCAATCTTCTGCTCCCATCGCACACCTCTAGGCACAAAAATGTTTTAATTGAAGTTTTATTTAACAAAAGCCGGGCATACTTCTTGTGGGCGTGGATTTGGGGCGGCTGTGGGCTTAAGGTCACATAATGCTGTTAAGCATTTAAGTGGATTAGAATTTCTGAGGTTGAAAAAAGTGAATTTGCTCTTGTGGGAAAAGTTGTCAATTGAAAAGTTTATATATAGATGGGATTATATATAGAACTGGTTGGGTATTTTTTTTTGGTATGAGTGCGTAGGCTGATAATCTTTTGGGTCAGCTTAGCCACAGGAATTAAATTGACACCACCGCACGAAATTGGGTTGCTGTTTGAGCTTGGACCGATGAAGTTTGAAGCCTTTTTTGGGTAATATTAATTTGAATTTCCAAGGGGGAATTAACTTTTACCTGGGCTTTGGGGGGTGTTAGATAGCTGTTTAGAGGTGTATTTAAAGTGTTTGCAAATTATGAGACATAATTAAAATTGAAGGATCATTTGTTATGGCTCATTAAATATTAAAAACAAATAAATAACCGAAAAAGCTGTGAGTTCACAGGCAAAACATCTAAATTGCCTTATCTCTGACCGCCTGAATTATCCAATAAATTCTTTGAAAATCCTTGGTTGCTTAAATAAATATCCCCAACTAAATCCCCTTTAAATATTCCAGCTTTTGTCGTCTCATTTTGGTTCTTAGGCCAGTAAAAAAAAAGAAAAACAATTTCCATTTAACCGCAGCTTATCCTTCTGGCCATTGCAGCCGAGAAAATGGTTCTGTGTGGCCCACACAAAAATAAACGTAACTCGGGCTAGTTTATTGGTTCATTTTGATGATGATGATGGTGGTGGTGGTGGTGGTGGGGGACCCACCCCAAAACCCAGAAAACATAGACATAGAATTAATGACTTGAGGCACATTTGATGTTTTTATTTTACTGCAACTAAAATGAAAGTGTCGAGTAAATGGCCGAATGCTCAGAGAATGGAGGCATTATCAAGTGGCCAGCAGCATTAGGTCAATAAAAGCCAAGAGCCATTTGTCAGCTAGCTTTTGGGTCTCCCGCTGCCATGTTGAGTGCAATTTTAGCCACTTTAAAAACCTTTTAAGCAGCTGCTCCCTCCCTGCAGCTGTCCACGCAGCCACTAATAAGGCAACTTTTATGCAAATGCCAAGTGCAGGAGCTCCAGGGCTCCCTCTTCTTCTTTTTCCCCATTTTTGGCTTGGCCAACATCCGCTGTCGTGGTCCAAATAACTCACTTCCCCCTTAATGCAGCACATGTACCCATCTACTCACTCTACACTCTAAAAGTTCACCGAACTCTTTGGGCTGAGTCACCTACCTCCACTTCTCGGGCTCATTGGCTATGCAAGACCAGAGGGCCACGCACGCGTTGACAGCCATGATGAGCGTGAATATCAATTGGTTTAGCAGGAGGGCGACGGGGGAATAGATATGGCTATGGATACACTCCCATAGTTTGCCCTGATATATGCATGGCGGCTTGGCCGCCTTTGTCGGGTTTATTGTCAAGAAACCGACCGAGATTGCCCCAAAGAATGTGACTGATATGCCCATAAGACGGAGGAACAAAGATTTTGACTAGGTGAGGGGCAGTCAAGGCAGTCAGCTAAATCACAGATTAAATAGGAGATGAAATCTTAAACCTGGAGACTTTGATTCAAGGAAGAAGTTAGCTCTGCTGCTCAGAAAAAATGTTATCAAGATTTATTTTATTTATGTATACTGGTATACCAACCAAAAAATAGACAAAGAAAACTTATTAAATAAAAATATAATAATTAAATTAAAAAGGAAATACTACCCCAAAGATTTGTTTATTTTCCCAAAATTAAAGACCTAAAGAACACCCAAAAAATATGTTGAAATCAAATAAAGCATATAAATAGCCCACAACATAAGCCTAATTAATTAAGTGAATGTATCAACACCTCAACATGCTAACACCTCCAATTCCTCTGAATTTCCCCCAGAATTTCCGCTGGCTTTCCCGACACGCGCACCTGTCTTCTCCACCAGAAACTGCAGATGCTCAACGTTTGCGTGGAGCGTCGCGTGCAACGGGAGGCGAATAGCAAACGAAAATCCGAGGGGATGATGCGGAAAGCCAGTTCCGAGGAAGACGAAGACGAAGAGGATGAGGAGGACGATGACGAGGGGGAGTTCTTCGACTGCGATGATCTGACTGCCGGTTCTGGTTCCCCAACAAAAGCGGTACTTAGTTTGAAGCCCGAGGGTCGATTGAGGCGTTTGAACGATGAGAGATTGCTGGAGGAACCCGAGGAGTATCTTTATATACCCGAAACCCAGGATCCTGTCCCAAAAACCGAGGATCAGCTGCAGGATGATGCCGAAGTGATGCTGAAATTGGGACCAGGTTCGGGGTTAACCACCCAAATGATGTGTACTTCACTGCTCTCAGATATGGAAGCCTTCAAGGCTGCCAATCCCAGGGGCGCCATGGAGGACTTTATACGCTGGTACAGTCCCAAAGATTGGGAGGAGGTCACTGATGGTAAGAGATTTAGGTCTAATAAGGAAACGCACACATTCAACTTACATTCTCTTTTAGAACTCGGTCAAGTGAATCATCAGTTGAGCATTCGGATGACCACTGAGGGCAATACCTGGCAGAAAGTCTGGGAACAGGCTCAAGCGGTTCCTATAAGCAGACAAAAAAGACTTTTTGACGACACCAACGAAGCTTTGAAGGTTCTTCACTATTTCGAGACCCGAAAAATGCATGAGATTTACCATCTGACCATAGTTCCTCTACTGCACTCGGCTATACTAAAACTAATAGTAAGTACAATTAAAATCTCACATTTATTTATTGATGATAAAATGTTATACTCCTTATTTTTTAGGACATTCTATGCAATGCCAAAGTGGAGGATTTATTTAGCCCTCAAATTGAGCAACTTCTTACCGATCTTTGCCGCCTCTCACGCTCTCATTCGGATCAACTTCCCCCGTTAAAACCCTTTTTAGATGACCTCGCCGAGTTGGAACGTCGCTTCTACCAGTTTAAGTGCTTCGAACGGCTATCGGGATATCCGAAAAGGAGCTCTCTGCAACAGGTGAAACTTCAGTTCCAGGAGATCCTGCGCAACGAGAACTGTTGTACGATTGTAAATCGAAGACTGACGGCAGCTGGGGATGGCACTTTGTACGACATCCTCATACCTAAATTAGAGGAGGATATGACTGATAGACTGATCAGCAAGGATTATATCATACGATTGGATGGGGACACAAAGAGCTCAGAGAAGGGATTGTATTTGGGTCCACAGTTCATGAGGGCCATTGTCACGGGCGAGAAACTGAGACTTTGTGGAGCTTTTACAGAAAGTACTGCTTTTGTTTAAAAAATAAAACTTTTAATATTTAGTAAACTATAAGAAAACTAATTAAATTAGAAGAGCAAAGCAGGACATACATAAATTGTAATCAAAATAAGAACTTCATAGAAGATTTTAATATTGAGCCTAGGTCTGAAAAAAACAAAATTAGCTGGAAAAGACATGCATTTGCTATTCGGAATTCCACACAGCAAAGAAAGCTATATAAACATTTTTTAAAAATAATCTTAAAATCAATTATTTATTACTTTACTCAAATTGGTGTTATTGGTGCTATAGAAAGAAAATAAATATAAATAATATATAATCAACTATGTTCTGGGGAAACATTTCCTTACAATCTTTCAGCTTCGCCTCATTTTCGGGGGAATCGCCCTCTGAGATCTTGGGCCACATATAATCACATAATCACTTCTGCGGCCGCTAGTCTCGAGGCCAAAAGAAATCCGCATGAAAACTCGACTTGAATGACAGGCAAGGAAAGCGAGGAAAGCTCTGCTGCTACTTTTCCTGAACCAGCAAACTTTGGCCAGGCAATTGCCGAAATGCGAGGAAAATGCCATGTTTAACTGGAATTATTTTAAGCGCACACTTCGAGTGGAAAAGGAGGAGGCGGCCCAAGAAATGGCTAGAGAAAAAGGGGTGGAATCGAGGGACCCCAGAAACCCAGACATAAAACATTTCTCGTCGTTTGCTCCTCGTCGTTTTGCTGGTAATGTTTTCTCCACTAAATTACCTACGGGCAATAATTGTTTTGTGTAGTACATGTCGGTTGTTGTGTGTGCCTCGTAAAGCCTGCAACAATGTTGCACCAACCCGAGCACTACTATCCCATCCCGGCCGCCAAAAACTGCTCCGTTCTCGCCATCTCCTTGCTAACCAAAAATGTAAGAGTGTAAAATAAATTTGTATTTACTGCATTTGAGGGCAGAAATTATGTGAGTGCCTGGGCTTTTCGGGGCACTTGCCCCGGTGCTTAAATGCAGGGGATCTGCTGCATGTTAGTAGTGCTCAACCTAACCGGCTTCCACATTCCTCGGTCGCATCCATTTAAAGGCTTAAACTTGTTGGTAATAGGATGCAGGTTGCAGATTAACTTTGCCAACTTATCGCTTACTAAATTTCGTGTGAGTTTTATGGGAAATAGTTTGAAGTTTTATTTTTTTTGAAAGCTATTAAAGATTGCTGATATAAGTATTTTTCTATCTTAAAAAAATGTAAATGTACAGCTTGCTTGAAATTAGCTAAATATTTTATTATTTTTTTTCTTTTGATAATAAGTTGAATAATTTTTAAAGAAATTAGTAAGATTTAAATGAAATGATAGTTTTATGGGAAATAGTTTAAAGTTGAATATTTTTTGAATAATGTGTAAACTTATAGCTTACTTGAAATTAAATATGCATTAAATTTAAATATTTCTTTTAATATGTTTTAATAATTTGGATAATTTGTAAAGAAATTAGTAAGATATAAACTGGTTTCTAGGATCTAACTGAAATGATACTACCATTAAGCATTATATTTTTATTTTTACTACCTTCCTTTGTCGCATTTTTCTTCTCTACCAGTGACACCTTGCAAATGATTTTATGACGCCATCAATCGATCCACCAAAGGACCACAATCAATGAATTTATTGTTGGCTGCTTTATGCGAATTCATAGCTAGTGGCCATTCAATAAATCAAAGAATAAATTGTGCATACAGCAGTAAGCCAAACATATTTGAAATGATATTCATATAGGAGGCGGGCGGCCAGATATGTATTTTGTATATATTCAATAAAATAATATTGCAAAAAAGGTAAAGAGAAGCTTAATTAAATTCTTGCATTCAATTTGGCATGAAATGGTTTGATTCGAAAGGGGGAGGGGGGTTTCGAGTGAAAAGTGAAGTTCGCTTCCAATTGATTTGCTGGCGGTTTTGTGGTACACCTCTGTTTATCTGTGTGTGTTCGTGTGGATGTTACAATCTTGCTGATGCAGTTGAATTTTAATGAAACTTTTTCCTTTTTTTTATTTTGTGGAGAAAATTGAATTATAGCAAGCACACACACACATACTCGGTCTGAGTAGTCGCCCCGTTGAGATTTTCAATTTTCCATTGAATCGACTGGGTAACGGAATAAAATGAAAGAAATCAGTTATATTTATATAAAAAAAAATCATAAAAGTAGAGCTCTTCAAGTCCTTTTTGCGAGCAAAGGAGGCGATTGCATTTCTCTTCCGGACATGAATTATTCAGCCAACAAACTGCAATGATAAGCACTCTTCCACTGCCCCGCCCACAGACCATAATTTAGCTCGAAATTCCCTCTCTAAAATTCACAATAAAATATGCAAAAGCCTCGCCAAGTGCCAGAGACCTTAAATAATAATAGGGCATAGTGAGATATCCATGGAAAAGCCGGCAAAGTAAGCCCAGACCCATCTACCATCCACCATCGCCATCGCTAAGCTGCACAAATTTGCATATTCATTGCAGAAGAGAACTGAAGAACTGAAAAAAACCGAGCTGAACTGCGGCAGATTATAAGTTTCACAACTCAATAATTAAAAGTAAGTAATAAAAAGAAAATCGCTTTGAAAAACAGAAAAAAAAGTCAACAAGTGGTGGAAATTGAGATACTCTTTGATTTGTAAAAAGATATAAATAATATTTGGGAATTTAAATTATTTAAGAAAATTATAATCTTAAACATTATATAGTAAAAATAATATTAACTAAAATACTTTATTTTAATTATCAAATTTTATAAAAGCTAATACTTTAAATTTTATTTATTTTCTCCCCAATTCAGAGCATCTCAGCTTAAAAACCTTAGCCGCACATGCATGAAAATCTTCCATTAAATGGAAAATTAAGCTTAAATCAGCAATAACAACAACCAGAGTGGCGACAAATTCAGGTGAAGGCAGGTGGGATTACTCGATGTCTTCTTTCATATTTTCCTGTCAACTGCAGCCCCGTCTCGCCTATATAGTATACCCACACATACAGTATGTAAATTCGTATATTTGTGACTGCAATCTGGGGAGCACGCGTCTTAAGCGGCTTAATACCAATTTTCAGTTGTTGTATGCATAAGTAAGGAGATGAGTTTAAATTATGAATGCTCGTAGGCAAATTCAAGTGTTTTCACCTGCCCTCGTATTTTCACATTCCCTGCCAGACTCTGTTGGCACTTGAGCTCTGCAAAGTGATGGTAAATAATTGTAATTGAAGATGGCAATTGTTTGCCAGCAATTAGCCCCCTTCGATGGATATATCTACATATAATGATGGATGCTAAATAATGGGAATTTTTGTGGGGGCTGCGGATGGACGCCTTCGTCGTTTTTTGTTTTGGTACATTTTTTTGTTGCTCCGATGAAATCATCTCTTTATATGGCAATATGTTAAACAGGGTTGGGCCATTTAAAAAAATATATTTATTGGTTACTAATATTTTTAAAGCAACATCCGCTTGAGCAAGTGACCTTAGCTAATCTGCTAATTGTGGATTGGACTAATCGTTTATTGTTCAAGATTTTTATATTTATATTTTGTACAATTTTCATTTAAAGTCACTACTTTTAGTCTAAAATATTTAATTTTATAATAATTAAATTCTTTTAAATCAAGGAAATTTATGATAAAATATATGTTATATTTATGCTTGATATTTTTGTATTTTTTCTATTTTTATATTTCTGATCTTCATTTTTAATCTTCACCACTTACTCCTTTATATTGGTTTTTTCATCAGCTAGTTGTAAAACTGGCACCTATTAGCTTTTTCATATATCAAGCTCCAGTTTAAGTGTCATTAAGTTTTCCGCTCAATTATTTTTCTGTCACGCCAGCACAAGAGCAAAACAAATTTAATTTGGTTTGACTGCTGGGGAAATATTACTTTTCTCATGTTGAACCGATTTTCCAGTTGCTCAAGTGAAAACCAGAGAATCTGCCAAAATGGGATTATTGATATGAGTCTTGTAAACCTTGTTCGCTTGTTTGTTTGTTTGTTTGGTGTGTTGTTTTTTCTTTACCCCCACCCCTCCTGCCTGAAGCAAATATTTGCAATTCGGATGGGAATTGTTCGCCCAGCTTAAAGCTTTAAAAAGTTTGTAATATCGCATCCAGCTCGCCTCCTTCTTGTCAGACAGACGCAACAGAAGCAGCCGAGATGAGGGCGAAGTTAAGGCTACGCAGATCAACTCATCTGTCAGGAGGTTGCCATGAACCATGAAAATGCTATGAGGATGAGGACGGGTGGCTAAAGTCCGGAGGCTGAGGGGCAGACATTTATTAACATGGCTTGGGTGTGGCGGCAGATGCTGCCAGAAAGGTGTTAAGTGGCAGATTCTGAGGAGCGTGGGGGAGAAATGATGATGAAGCGAATCTCACATATCAGCATAAATAAATTTAAGTGTCGAGCACCGAGGCACAAAGAAATCTGCGTAAATTTCGCTACCATCCGACCGATGTGGCATAAATATAAATTACCCGCAAAGACGGGCATCTCTCCTTTTTAATGATAAAAAATATTGTAAATGCGGGCCAGAGGAACAGACAAAATATTTATGGAAAATATGCGGCGCGTGTCCGTTGATTTTTCTGCCGCTTCAACGCGGCTTCTCCATTTTTAATGGCTAATTAAATTGGCAACGTCGAAAGCAGAAGTTAAAGTTGAAATTTCTTTCGTCGAGAATTGAATGGAAAATGAAACGAAATGGGAAATCCAATTGGAAGGGCTGTACAACAACAACAACCGCAGTAGACAAATAAAGACTCTCGGTTAGATATGTGCTTGGGCAGAAACACACACATACGCACTGTGGGCTGGGGGAAACACTTGGCCCAGCAAACATTTGCGCCAAGTTAACTGCGGTCAGATTTTCGGCTGCTGAGTTGTGTTACGTTGCTCTTAAACAGCGATGAGAACGTGAGGGGGTTTATTATAAAGAAAAGGGTTTAGGAAAAAGAATTAAAAAGAATTTAATCTACCTATAATAACGTGCCAAACAAATAAATCTAAAATCACCAACGTTAAATACAACATCTTTTTGTTCAAAAATTGATAAAAAATAATTTTTGAATTTTGTTTAAAACTTTTAGATCTTAAGAAAAATTTAGAGACAATAGTACAACAGCAGTTTCTACATTAAAATCAAATAAAACCATCAATCAAAGCCTATAAAAGTAAGCTGTCCCACTTCCACCAAACCATCTCATCATAACTCGTTCCATCACTGACCCATTTTCAGTTTTTGCCATTTAAATTTTTGCGTAACGCCGAACGCACCTTACTGCTGCCAGTTTAGCAAAGGCACTTGGCCATCTCTAATAGGAAATGCATTTGGCGATGTTCAAGTAAATTACGTCAGCGGCTTGCCGCACAAACAGTGAGCGAGGGAAAAGAGGGGCATCAGACAATGGGGAATAAGTGCCAGCATGGGCTGCTTAAAACATACAACTGAACAGAGAGAAAAAGTACTAACCCTAAAATTATAACTTTTCGGAATTAAATTCCACTTGCAGGTACGAAATTGTATTTATGGAGAAAACCTTCCGATCTTGAATAATAATAATTTTGGAATTTCGTATTTCTTATCTTACTAATTTATTTAACACCCTATTTTTTAAAGCAGTTTTTTCTTTTTGATATAGATTTACAATTTTAGAAGGTAAATTCAGATTATTTTTGAAATGAGATGATAAACCTGCGAACGGAAATATTTGATACAGTTTTCCTTTTCATTTTTAGTAACCTCCATAAAAAACTCAAACTAAAATAGATTTAATTAGATTAATCGATTAGATGTAGTATCGTTTAAACAGTTCCATAACTGCCCTAAGCTTTAAATATATACTTATGAAAAAATAATGATTTACTTGACATTTTCTCTCAGTGCACTATCTCCCCAACATTCTGTGCATGGCTGTGTGTGCTTTTGCTCCAAATATGGGAGCAGAGACAAAATGGAATCGCCGTTGTTGTTGCTGCGGCGATTGAATCCGATCCGTTTGAAAGAGTTGCTGTTGAGTTGGCTGGGAACGCGCTTTACTACGAATTGGGTCAACTGGCGCATTTTTGGCCCGAACAAGAAGAAGCAGAGGAAGCCGATTTGGGGGCGGGAAAAAGGGGGTGGGCTGGTCTGGCTAACGGTTAATGTTATTGCGACTTTGCCATTTATCGCCGGCCATTGTTCGCCACCAACTGAGATTTCCAGCCAACTTGAAGTTGCCTTTGCTTTTGCTTTGCCACTGGGCTACTTGCTGTGAGGCAGAAAGTCAAGCTGAAGGCATCGTTTGACTTGACTTTACGACCCATTGTAACGAAAGAAAGAAGAAGCTGGTGAAAACATAAAGCCAGATCGGGGAATTAACTTCTTCATTGTGCATTTGACCCAAGTGGCAAAAGCAAATGCAAATGCTAGCAAATCATCTCTAATTGTTCATTGCTGCACAATAATTGACAAGATATGAAGTTAAATTTATTTATTGCCCAAATGCTTGAAAGTCAAAAATTTACTTAGCTGACAGAAGCATAAAATCACAAACCATTGACAAATTAAATTAAATTGCTCGAGTGGAAGGGCAAACAACTGAGACTGTTTATGAAGTTTAAACAGAATTTATTTTCGCAATAAAATAGAATGAAAATTTTAAATCTTAATCAGAGTCAACGGAAAACAGTTTGGAAAACTTATTTAAAAAAGTATTAAGGAAAACTCAAGCGCCGTCCAGGCTCGAAGACCGCATAATCAAGTTTTAATTATGCATAAATTGTTGGCACACACTTCTTCTAGCAGCTTTATCAGACACTTGCATAATTATATAAAGTTTCTCTATGACTTACTTGCCATTCGGCAAATCCTGTTTGATATTAAAAATTCGCCAAGACAAAGAAACATTTGAGGCAAACTCAAACAGTGAGGAAAACTTGAGCAGTTTCCAAGCAGGCAAGTTGAAGAAATGAAAATGAAAATGACAAGGAGAAGTTCCTGTTCTGGCACTCCGACTCTCTTTTTGTTTCAGCAACAGACATTGTCTTGTTGAGAAATTGCGCATATTTCCGTTTCCGTTTCCTGCATAAAAGCGTGTGTGTGTGTGTGTGAGTCTGTCTGGTCTTTTTTTCGACCTGAGTTGCAATTTTGGCTGCCTTCCTGTCGCTCGATATCTGCGCATAAATTAAAGGTACCTTTTTAAACAGAATAACCGCATGGCATATAAATGAAACTTTACGAATTTCAATTCGTAATGAAATATTTACAGTTCGCTCAGAAATTTATTTATATCTCTTCAACTTTAAACCGGTTGTCCGACATCATGAAGCTTATAATCTGATGACAGCAAAAACCTGACACTTTTTAATATTTTTCAATATTTGGCTGAGACTTTTTTGGTCATTCGGCATTTGATATTGATGAAATTTAGCTTGCCATTGGTGAAAAAATTTGTTATTTTTGATGGCCGCACACAAGTGGGTAAATATGGTCAGGGAGATGAGGACTGCGGGGTGTACAGCTTTCAGGCAGTTCAATCAACATAGTTGACGTTTGATGTAAAAACCTTTCAAACGCATCTCGCAGATAACCAGGGATTTTCGTTATTTTCAATGATACCCTGCTGGCCAAAGGGTGTATGTAATTGGATTAAAAACAAAATAAAGTGCACGAAAAAAACTTTTTTTTTAGAGAAAATGAAATCTTTTATTGAAAAGCAAAATAATTAATATTAAATACTTTTAATTTAATTTTATAATCATTTTAACTTTATAAAAGGGTATTTCTTTCAACCAGCTCTTTCAGATTTCCCTCCTTGATTTTTCTCCCTTTTTTGTAGACCTTACTATCCGTGTGAATTTTTACCAATATGTGGCATCCTGTTGACTGACTGCCGACTGATTGCGTATACGCGATGTGACAGTTTGCTGAAAATATGTTGCGTATACGCCCTGTCTACCACTACATACACTCCTATGAGCAATAGTTGAACGGAATGGATGCGCTGGAATGTGTAGCCGTCTGTTTGCCCGAATCAAACCGAATGTGATTTTTAATTCTACAATTTTTGACATTTGCGTTTGCATTTAAATTAGATTTTACGAGGCCACAAACACTGACTACCAACCAATTTGAGGGCTGTCGATTGGCCCCGTACCTTGGGATTGGGGAAAATGGATTGCGTTTGCAGGCATGACAAATGGGATTTCGACTCCTGACTATCTAACAGAATGTGCAGCATTTTCCCACTTCAGTGGTATAAATCCGGCTGTTCTTGGCCTTCTTACCACTACTAATTGAAACATTAATTTTGCCCAAATGTCTCAATCGGATTGAGAACAATCACAATTTGGAAGACATTGTCTTGGCTGCTCGCCCAAGGCCTTCCCACTTCTCTTTCCCATTCGACTTAATTGCATCATCTTCATACTCACACACACCGACCGCAATCATTTTGCATCTTTGTTGCCGCTGGCACAAAAAATAAAATATAAAAACAACAGAAGCAGCTTCATAAAATTTAACTTAACCGTGCTGACGATGTTCATTAAACGAACGCAATCATAATAACTGCCGGGGCAACAAATATTAAACACAAAATGGTGTAAAAATTAATTAAGCCCTAATAGCTGTGAAGCATTTTTGCGCAGCCACAAAACGGAGCTTGAGTAAAACGCATCTCGTATTTACCCACACCGACCCAATAATGCATAATTTAAATCGCTTCTGCCGAGTTTAACGCAGATTGAGTAACCCAATTTAAGCGACTATAATTAATAACATTATTCACCTTTATATTCAGGTAATTTTGTTGGCCATAACATTTCGTTTAATGTTTGGCGGGATGGGCTAGAAAATCGTAAAAAGATTTCAGTTTGAGATTTGGCTTTTTGTGTCAGTTATCTTTTTTTGAAGTAGTCGTTTCAGATTGCCCAGTAAACTCCATAGACCAACTTCGAAAACACAAGGCTCTGAATTTTCCATCAACTCTTTATATTATTTTTTATTTCACCTAACAAGCTTGTTCTGTTCAGTTCACATTTTCTTAACTTGGATCTTTTCGGTTTGAAGAGGCGAAAAATTCATCGAATCGTTTGAAAGAACTTCTACTAAATTCGGGCATTTCCACACAAAATGACTTTTACCTACAAGGAACTTATAGACGTGGCCATTGGCTCCCCGGAATCGGGACATGTTAACTTTTACGCCCTGCATGTTTTGCTCACGTGCTTCGCCCAGCGATTGGAGGTCCTGGATGAGGTCGTCGAACAGGAGGACTATATGGTGGCCAATGTGCGATTGCAAAGCAGTTTGTGTGAGTAGGGAAAGGATTTTTGGGAATACTATTATTATAAAACCCTTGATGGTAACACTTTTCTTAGTAATTTGCCATTTGTTGAAATATATACAGATTTACGTAACTAATTTTAAAACTGCTCAAGATCTTACAATTTTTTTTTATGCTTGTTGCTTTCTTAAATTTTAAATTAATAATTTTTCAAAGCTGAAAAGTCGATTTGCTAAATAATATACACAATATATAATACTGTATTCATCAATCAAGCCTAGGGAATTTAAATCTAAAATCTAAAATGTTTCTTTCTTAGTCTTAGTCTCAGGTCCAAAGCTAAATGTGAAAGATTTTTATATCTAATTTTTTCTTCTTAGTGACATTGAATAACACCTCAAAGTTCCGTCTTTTTGCTGGCGCGGATGCCGAAGAAGGAGAAGCCGCTGAGCCGGCGGCTGAGGCTCCAGCTGAGGAGGAAGCAGCTCCACCTCCGCCTGCCGAGGAAGCTGCTTCTGCTGCACCAGCGACTCCTGCCCCAGAGGAAGCAGCTCCCGAGGAGTCTGCCCCAGCAGAAACAGCACCGCCTGAGGCCGCTCCTCCGGAAACCGGTGCAGCTACGCCGGAAGCAGCTGCCTCCACCCACGAACCCACTCCGGCTCCAACTCCGGCTGCCGAGGAACCTCCACCCCGGGAACACGAGTCAGAGTCAGCCAAGATCCAAATGGCGCACTCACCCGAGGCTCCGCTGGCCTCTAGGGTCTCCTCGCGATCCTCGACTCGCGAAAAGTCCCGAACCGAGGGTTCTTTCACCAACAATCTAACGCGTATCGAGAGACGCCTGTCGAAGATCGAGCTGCAAAAGGAACAGGCCTCCATGGAGATGCACCAGTTTGTGAGCAATCTCACTGGGCAACTGAAGATCACCATGGAGCAGGTGAACAATGTGACCCACATGCTGATCGATCGCAAGCCGAATCCGCACAGGATCAAGATCCTTCGTCACATAGCCAAGCAGCTGAGGGTTTTGATGGGCACGACTGGCGATGAGGTTTCGGTTAGTTGGTCCTCTGGTGAAATTGTGGGTGGCGAGGAGGAGGAGTGCCTCTCGGAGGAGGAGGTCCAGGAGGAGTCCAGTGCTCCGACGGAGGTGGAGAAACCCGAGGAGGAGGAGGAACTCGGCTTGGAGCAGCCCCTTTGCTATTCCCCAGAGAAAATGCTAAATGAGCTACTCGATCTCAAGTCGCAGTTTTGTGCGCTGACCAATAAAGTGAATGAACTGGCGGCGGCTCTGCTGAAGCAGGACTCCCAGCGTCTCATGGACATGATGAAGGATCTATCGGAAACGGTGAGGGATATCAAGCTCTATATGGCCAGCAATAAAGAGGCGACCAGCGGAATGTTGATTCGCCTGAATGATTGCGTAAATCAGATACAAATATTGAAGAAATCGGCTGCCCATTTGGATGAGGTGAAGATTGACAAGACGGAGGTGGAACTGCTGCTGGCCGAGAAGGTGGACTTCCAGCAACTGGCCACTAAGGTATCCCTGGAGCAACTGGAGGAGTACAAGGCTCGCTTGGAGCAGATGTTCTGCGAGGTGCGGCATATTGTGAGTTTGAATGAGAAGAATGTCCTGCAGATAATCGACAATCTGCGCATGACCCTGGGCATCGATGCCTTGGAGCTGAGCCTCAAGGACTTCCGGGAGATGATCGAGAGGCGGGTGCAGATGATAGCCGAGGCACTACAAAAGTACATGGAAATGACCAACGATGATTGTGCCGCGGCCGCTGGAAGGGTCAAGGTCATGCAGGATCTGGCCTGCCTGGCCTGCGATACCACCTGTGTGATGCGAACAGTGGAGCGATCCAAGGTTCCCTCGCTGCCGAATGCCAAGGGTTCCACCGGCCTGGGACCCATTGTCACCTACGAATTGGGCCAGATCCGCAAGTCGGGCATCATGGGCTACTATCGCAAGGACGAGTTCCCGCACTCGACCAGCGCCTGGAACAAAGGAACCTCCGGTGTGCCCATGGTCAAGTGCACTCCGCGGCATGCTGGTGGAAGTCACACCACCCACACCGCCGACGAGCACATGCAGAAGGTGGTGCTCTCAAAGAAGAACACTGGATGGACATAGGATCGGAACTTATAACTCCATAATTATGTGATCGTTATGTTTTGGTAACTAAACAAAATTAAAGAGATTGCAGTGTTGAAATCAGTAAAATGCACACAAAAAAATATCGTATCGATTTTGACTTGATATGCGTGCACCTCAATTTTATATGCTCGAAATGTAAGCAACTGTAGATATTGTATGGGTATTCTATAGAAATGCATTTTAAATTCTAACTATTTCTATACATGATACTTAATTTGTCTACTAATTAATAGCCTCTATGAAAATGGGATTTAAAATCTAATTTATTAGATTTCGCTGATTGAATTTCTATTGAATTGACAATCAGTTTTCATTAGATTTTTAGTAGTTGGCAAACAAAGTGTATTTTCCGTTTGTTCTAATTTCAATGCAATGAGATGAGGAAAAAGTTTAAAGCCTCAAAATAATCTTATTAAAAATGTTTAAATATATTCACAAATTTATTATTGTATAATAAATATTCATTATTTATGATTTACAAGTGCTTCTGCCAATTGCAGTTTACACAACACAACTCTTTCATTTTTGCAATATTGACGACAAAGCCTTTCCCTTGAAAAATAATTTGTTTGCACAGATTCCCTGGTTGTAGATCCCATAGCCACATATTTTAATCTCGGAACACACAAGAACACTACACTTTAATATTCATTGCATCACCGTATAATTCCATAAGAGAATTAAATAAAATATGTTGACTGTAAGCGATTTATGTTAATGGACTTTTTGGCCAAGAGCATTAATTTTCAAGTTTCCATGGCTGTGTGCGACACTTTGGAATTATCATTGATTGCACTTTTTACTGTGAGATTTTAATTGACGCAGTTACCTACAGCAATATATTTTAAAACATTTATTTTCGCTTTGCGGCTCATTTAAATTTGGCTTCGCATTGCATTGCAGCATTCGAAGCGTGCTTGTGGCGGGGATTGATAAACATTTTTTATTGTCCGAGTCTCGGGTGTGAGTTTCATTCTGCTCCCGATTCTGGGCCAAAAATGAATGACTCGAATGGTCTGTTGTCAGTGCTCCGTTTAATGGGCTAACGATTAAATGCATAAATTTGCCATAAATTGAAACAAGTCAAACAGTTACAAAACATGACAGGAATAAATATAAATAAATTCCCGTGCTGCTTGGTCGAAGGTTATCGGCGGAAAAGTAAAAAACGGACGCCGCAAATATGGCAAACTGTCATTTATCCTTTATTCAAATGTTAACTACAAGGGCGGACTTCCTTCGGCATAAATTTTAAATTATTCAGCATATTAGTCAGATGCCATTTACATGCTGGACATGAATAATTGAATTGGAAATGTTTAAAAATCATTACTCCGATTTAAGCAACAAAAAAATGAAAATGAAAAATATGTAAACACTTTAAAATCTTTTTAAAATCATACCTTTTAAAAATCATTTTTATATAACCAATTGACTGCTGAAAACAACTTTCATTAGATGTTTTTAGTTCCCTTAAATGGTAAAAACAAGTGCTCGGCACTAGAGCCACATAAGTGAGCGTTCAAATTAATTAGAGGCAGCAGTGTGAGCAGAATGTTAAAGAGACACAAAAGCAACGAAATTTTAATGGAAACAGGTCAGTGCATAAATTGCAAGTAAAACGGGCGAAGCCGGAAAGCGAAAAACAGGCGAAATGTAAACAGAAATGGACTAAGTTAGCAAATGGTAGCAATAACAGCGAATAGCAGCATTACACTGAGAAAAAATTAATGTTGCAGAGAGTTAAATTGAATTGAATAGTGCAGAGTGACCTTGCGTAGTGACGGAAATGATGCATGGTCACACTGAACATTCTGCTTTGAAAGCAACTTTATCCCTTTTAAGCAACATAAAAATGTCATTTAGATTTAGATTTTTTTTGTGCACACTCAAAATAAATTTAACCCTAAATTTTAGAAAATCGCCCTAAAAATTTCTTTTTTCTAAATACAAGAAAGTTATTTCTAAATCTAAGGAAATTTTTCTTAAGTCAAGAAAGTTTTTCTCAAATCTAGGAAGTTTTTCTTAAATGTAGAAAATGGTTACCATGAACTAAAATCACCCTAAAATCTAGAAAAAATGTCCTAAACTTTAGAAATTATTTTCTGAAAAATAGAAAGGCAAACGAAAATAATAAAATATTTTGGCAACACCTTTTCTAAAAATTAGTGCCCTAACCCTAAAATGAAACCAACCCTAAATAATAGAAACATTTTCTAAAAAGTAGAAATTTTTTCTAAAAAATAGAAATATTTGTTTTCACATGCTCTGGCACACCAAAATGTTTAATGCCAGAACTTGTCAACTGTCGGCCGGCTGTACCCGTGGCGCAGACGGTTAAAGCACTTGGTTAGCAATCGAATCGACGCGGGTTCGAGTCCCAGAGCAATTTTTTTTTACCTTTTTTTTTAATTTTTTTTTTTAATGTTATTTTATTTTTCTTTTTATTTATTTTTTTACTTTTTTTTATTCCTTTTTTTATTGATGGCAAGCGGTAAACTGAAAATAATTAGGTTTATATTCAGCTATTTACTATATACTACACATAATATAAATTGCGTTAGCATAAATATATACATATGTATATACGTATGTAAATAAGTAAAACGCGAATGGTCAAAATTATGCAATTAGTATTCAAATGTGTTGTCCGCTTCACCCTTTACATACAATGCTCGGTTTGCCACAACAAATTTATGTGCTACAATGGCCCAGTATGTAGGCCGTTCGCTCCTCGCGCGGGAGACCCGGGTTCGATTCTCACGACGGACAAGTAAAAATTGTAAGTTTTTTTCATGAAGATAAAATATTAACTAACCATAATTTATACATTCCCCCATTCCCCCGCAGTCCCGTAGTCCACATTTACAACCACATTTGGCTTTGGTTACATAAGAAATCCAAGTGCAAATACATAATAATAAATACATAACCTTTAACATTCACAATATACAAGACACACAACGCCTGCATATGTACATAGGGAGGAGTACATAATATAAACGTATATACAAAAAAAATCATGATTGAACATGTTTTTTTGTTTTGTTTTTAATTTCTATTTTTTAGGAAAATTTCCTACTTTTTAGAAATTTTTGCCCTTAAATTTAGTAAAATTACCCTAAAATTTAGAAATATGACGTCAAAAAAAATCAAAAATATAGAAAAATGTGACCCTAAAATTTAGGGCTAGCTTGTCTTGAAGACAAAAGTAGGGCGATTTCCTTGACTTTAGGGTTAATTTTATTTTGAGTGCACCGATGACAGGCGACTCAGAAAAAAAACGGCAATAACGTCAACTGCAACTCCATGAATTTTGCAATGGACACCGCAGATGGCGAGAAAGGGAAAATAAGCAAACAGAGAGAGAGGAAAACAAAGACATCGGACAAATAAATTAAAATGCAAATTTAAACGAAAATGAGTGTAAACAGTAAACACTTCAGATTGGGGTCTGAGTGCAAGGCTAAGACGGAAGTCTCTCGATCTCGACATCGTGGAAAGCAAAAGCCAAAAACCGAATCACGGAAATGACCCAAAAAAAGCCAGACACTGCGCCGGTGAAAAAAAAATACCATGGGAAGAGCAGAAGATGCGCCATTGTTGTCGCTCTTTGAAGGTCACCTTTGGAGTGGGCGGAAAATCGGGACGCGCGGGTCGAGGAAAGTGTTGAGCTTGAGCCAAATTGTTGAGCCAATTTCCACGTCTCACTTACCCCATAACCAACTTCGATTGCGGCATTCTGTGTTATCTCTGTGAGATTTCCGGAGACCCAATAACTTGCCGCCTTAAAACTTTGCAGACTTACCTAAAAAGAGAAAAGAAGTGATTTTTAGTGATTAATATTAACAGTGGGTAATGGTAACTTTTTGATTTGCCTTCGCCAAAGAGGCAAAAAAGCGTTTGAAAATTATTTATTGCATGTGGGGAAAAGCTGTAGGAAAACTCTCAGAAGAGTGGGATACATTTGGCCCGCATTTCCATTCTGCGGTTTTCCCCCCCTCCCCGCAAACCAAATAAAAAAGCCGGCAACAGGAAAAGTTTTGCGACAAAATTCCGGCATTTGTACAAAAAGCTTGATAGAAAAGTTCTTTTGTAACTAAATGGTGATAAGCAAATAAAAAAATAAAAGACAAATAATTTGTGCAAAATGTTTGTGGTTAGCCAAAGAAAAAATGTCAAATATTTGTAATGGAGAAGTTTGCAATAAATCGGTCACAGAACTGTAAATAAAATACCTATTTAAGGCATTTCTTTGATATAACATTGAATGTCGGCAGCAAAAACAGATGAACTAAAAATAAATAATACGAAATAAAAACATTTTCAGCTCAATGTTAGTCTTATATCTCAGATTATTTCACACATCATGTGTTGAAAAACAATAAATATAAATAAATTGAAAAAATAGAAAAAACCTACAGATAAATCAAACCAATCTAATGAACAGAAATTCAAAGCTGGTAAAAAATGTAATCAATATCGCAGCTCAGTGGGGCAGCAGCTTACATAAGCAAACACAAACACTCTCCCATATGCGAAATCGTTTCCATTTCAAAATAGCCAAATGATGTTTAAGTTGGAATTCAATTTGAAGGCAATAGAACGAGGAGAAAGGTTTTCCATCAGAGTCAGCCGAGAATGGAAGTCAAAATGAATTATTGCTCTTGGGCCAAACTCATTTTGGCTTTTATGTGCGTGCGTATGTGTGTTAAATAAACATAAGAGGACCAAAAAAGCAGACGTAGAAGTCGTATAGTTGAAAAGAAAGGCATTTTCAACATTATCTTGGCCTGCTATTTTCAACTTTTTCCTTTGCAGGCCCAAAGTAAAATGACTTGGGGCTAAAGACGAAATAGCCTTGAACTGCACAGTTTGACGCAGCTGAGTAATATTTTACTTGAGGTTTCCATGTATTTTCTACAAAAATTTGTTTTGTTTTCCTGCCAATATATTTTATTTTATACCTACTCTTAGCTAAACAATCGATTGTTATATGATTTATGACTGGCTTGTGGATAGAATCTTTAATTAAATGCGTAAACCAAAAACGATTG